CAAAGTCTATCTAGAGAAAAGAAAGAAACAGAGGAAAGAAAGACGTCAGGCACTATGAGCTACCTATCCATGGATACAGTTTCTCAAGCAAAGTCTACATTCAGTTTAGTCTAAGGTAATAAGTATAGGTGAAAATAGAAAAGCTAACACACGAGAGTCACAGCTCCTATGAAGGCAAACTACAGTCTATTTGTAATATGAAAGATTCCAAAACAAAACATTCATAGAAACTTGACCAATATGGCTTTAAATTGTTAGTACAGGTAATTTAACAAGTCAGCTAACAGCTGAATAAAATATGAAATGCCTTTAGTCTCTTAATGTTTCCTTTCCTTATATTTCCCTAGAGTCCAATTTTTTTCTTTAAAGAGATGGGTTCTCAATAATCTTTTCCAAAAAAATTCTTACTATTTTATTTATGTGAAAAGCAGGAAGAAAGATTTCCCATCTCTGGTTAATTCCCTAAATGCCCACAACAGCCAGGGCTGGACCAGGCTGCAGCCAAAAGCCAAGAACTCAATGCAGGTCTCTGACACAAGTGACAGGGATCCAAGCACCTGAGCCATCACCAGTGCCTCCTAGAATGTGTGTTAGCAGGAAGCTGAAGGAAGCAGAGGTGGGACTCAAACCCAGGTACCTCAGTATGATATGTGGGTATCATAAGCAGTGTTTTTGTTTGTTTGTTTGTTTTGACAGGCAGAGATAGTGAGAGAGAGAGACAGAGAGAAAGGTTTCCCTTCCGTTGGTTCACCCCCCAAATGGCCACTACAGCCAGCGTGCTGCACCGATCCGAAGCCAGGAGCCAGGTGCTTCCTCCTTGTCTCCCATGCGGGTGCAGGGCCCAAGCACTTGGGTCATCCTCCACTGCCTTCCCAGGCCACAGCAGAGAGCTGGACTGGAAGAGGAGCAACGGGGACAGAACCAGCACCCCAACCAGGACTAGAACCTGAGGTCCCTGCGCCGCAGGCGGAGGATTAGCCTAGTGAGCCACAGCACCGGCCATAAGCAGTGTCTTAACCACTGTTCCAAATGTTTGCCCCATCCCTAGTTCAAACACGCTGAATTTCAATCAACATTGAGTATATTCTTTCTATCAAAAATAGGAGATTCAAATGCCTCAACTTTAAACAAATAAGAAATTGGAAAGCTTTCATTACTTCTGTGTGTTATGACATTCTCTTATGTATTAAAAACCAAATCTTACCACTGAATTTGAAGTTTTATTTTCAATTTCAAAATGGTTATCTTTTTGTTTTAGCTTTATTAGAAATTTATTGGTTCATTAAGGAAGGAGAGATATTTCAGAAACAAAACTGGTAACAAAACTATTTGGAAATATGCTAAAGACCTTAACCACTATCTTTCTCTAAAAATACTAACATGATTCATGGGAGACACTGTGACGCTAAACTACCAAAAAAAGGTATTTCTTCTGGATAAGTGGTGTATTTCACAGAGCGGTGTTACCCTCTCTGCTTATGGCAACTAGAAATATAAGAACCAAATCTGTGTTTCCCTCTTGTAATAATGACACAGTAACTTAATTGTGTGTACACACCAAACTATGCAAGTTTATTCTTCATGCTAATTCCATTAGCTACTTTTAAAAACTTCTAATAAAACTCTAACACTAATTTCAAATCTTTTTTTTGAAAAAGCCAGAAACTAGATAAATACCAGAGAAAATAACAAATGTCACCTCTTTCATAGAATAATAAAGATTCTAGAGATGGAAAAAAGCTCTAGTCAAGTACTTACTAAGTAACTAAGGCTCACACAGCTATGTTCTAGCAGAAATGAAAAAGTTAAATATCATCTATCATTCCCAATTTCTAAGTTTAAGCTTTGAAAAGATTCTCCTTTATGATTTTCTTTATTTATAGCACTAAAGTTAACAAGGCATCTTCCCCATCAATAGATACTAAGGGATATCAGTGTTTCCTTCATGGACTGTAAGAGATCATGTTCTGTGAGATCTGGGTAGCAACACATTACTGATAAAGCAGATGTGCAAATGCTGTGTTCCCAAATGAGCAGATGGAGAGGCTTCTTACCCTATCATCAAACCCAGAGCTCTAGGTTGGACAGGACAGATGTTTTGGTCTTCCTCTATGGGCTCCTTCATTGGTGGTGTTTTTATTCATTAATGCTGTATATTTACTACTCCAGAGGCAGATGGTTTTTGTCATTTTTTTTTAATTTCCCAGGAGAAAGGAAATGTAGGTGATTCTGTAGTAAATCTTTTTATGTCACTTCTAAAGTGTGGCTACAAAAGCACGGTGCAAAGAATCACCATGTTCAGAAAGTTGTAATTAAAAAGTGTTTGAAGTTTGTAACTATAAAGCTGGATAGTTCTGCATACATTACTAAGGACTTACTTCTAAGGGTACAGTTTAAAAACTTGCCATGGGACCCCAAATCCCCTTAAGCTGGGTGGTAAAAATATCACCTTAAGTGTTTGAGCATATGGGTAGGATTAAGTCTCTGGTAATAATAATAGATAGAATTAAAAAGGAGTGAATGCTCCAACATGGGTAGCAGTCCACACAACAGACTCATAGAATCACAACCAATTTAAGTAGCACTCTGACCTTAGAATCAGCCCTTAAAGCATGCTGGTCTGGCTGAAAAGCCCGAGAGAGCATTTCAGGCATGGAAAGCCAAGACACTGTGGCAAAAAATGTCTTACATGAAAGACCTCAGTGTGTGAGACCCCAGTGGAAAGAAAGTCATTAAAAAAAGAGGTACTTTACTCTGAAGGGAATAGAGAACTTCTACTTTACTTATGGCCTTGTCTAAATACTGACAGAGATTGTGGCTTCAAAAGGCTTTCAGAGCCTAGGCAGCTCATGTCAAGAGCCTCAGGTGATCACTGATGTCGTACATCAGTGTTAATTGTTCCATTAACTACAAAATTCACTGTGCACTAACTTCTCATGTAGGACCTCTGTCCTCAAAGAATTGTATTATAATTATGTCTAAGTGCTCGTAAAAGATGTATCATTCTTTGGTGCTTCATTAAAGTTAATTAAGTTTCTAAAAAAAAAAGAAAGAAAACAAGTGAAATTAACTTCAAGATGCAATCACTTTTTTTTGTTTGTTTGTTTTTCTTTTTTTTTTTTTAAAGATGCAACCACTTTGAATAGCCCTTGTCTGGACTGTTGAGGAACAGTTTTGTTTGTTTTTTAGGGTTTTTTTTCATGCAATTTGTTGTGCTCTTAATATAGAGATAGTCTTCTGTGTATAAAGCTAATTAAGAGTGAATCTTAGGCCGGTGCCGCCGTTCACTAGGCTAATCCTCCGCCTTGCGGCGCCAGCACACCGGGTTCTAGTCCCGATCGGGGCGCCAGTTTCTGTCCCGGTTGCCCCTCTTCCAGGCCAGCTCTCTGCTGTGGCCAGGGAGTGCAGTGGAGGATGGCCCAAGTACTTGGGCCCTGCACCCCATGGGAGACCAGGATAAGTACCTGGCTCCTGCCATCGGATCAGCGTGGTGCGCCGGCTGCAGCACACTGGCAGCGGCGGCCATTGGAGGGTGAACGAACGGCAAAAGGAAGACCTTTCTCTCTGTCTCTCTCTCTCTCACTGTCCACTCTGCCTGTCAAAAAAAAAAAAAAAAAAAGAGTGAATCTTAGTGGAGAATGGCACTGGGAATGGGAGAGGGAAGACCAGGTATGGTGAGAAGAATCACTATATTCCTGAAGTTGTACCTATGAAATGCATGAAGTTTATATTCCTTAAATAAAAGATTTCTTTAGGAAAAATTAAAAAATAATAAAATTTTTTAAAAGTTCCCAGGAGACACTTATACTGCTTATTTGGGAACACAATTTGAGAGCCGCTACAATATTACACAGCTAGATGAGTTAAAATTCTGTCTTAACTAAAAAGAGTTTATAATCGAGTTTTGGCATCTTACCTCAAAAAACTGAGAATCACAAAAATTTCAACCCAGTGCTATCAAAACCTTGAAAAGTCAAGTTCCCTCAAATATAGTTGATAGTATTCAGAGTATTAAAAATCTCAATGGGACACAATTAGGTAAAATAGTAAAAGCCCCAAGAATAGTAAATAAGCCTATTTACTATTAATTCAAAAGGGAAATAAACCTTTTCATTGCCAAAATAGTCACAAAACACTATTTAAAACTGCAAAAGCTGGAAACTATGCAAATGTCAAACAACTGGAGAATAATCATATAAACTATAATATACTGAGTAAACAGAATATAACCTGACCATAAAAGTAAGTGATTCCTTCATGTATTCATATTCATATACACACACTCACACATGTACACATGAAATAATGGAAATATTATATAGAAAAAAATACAACATAAAATTCATCACAGTAAGTTTACGGATAAGAATAGGAAGTAAACCTCAATAGGTGTAATCTTATTTAAGGTGAATGGATATTTTAGACAAAACATTTTTATAAGATATTTTAAAGCAGTCAAAATACGTTATGAACCTTTTAAAGTAGTTTCTGATCTGCAGGTTATGGTGACCAGCTGATTCATCAAAAACTACTTTTGGAGGCTGGCATTGTGGTGCAGAAGGTTAAGCAGCCGTCTACAATGCTGACATCCCATATAAATGCTCGTTCACTTCCCGGCTGCTCCACTTCCAATCCATGTTCCTGCTAATGTGCCTGGGAAAGCAATAGTAAATGGCCCACACGTTTGAGTACCTATCACTTATGTGGGAGACCTAGTGGAATTCAGGGCTCCTGGCTTTGGCCTGGTTCAGCCCTGGCCATTGTAGTCATATGGGGAGTAAACCAACAGATAGAATATCTCTGTCTGTCCATCTTTCTCTGAAGTCTGCCTCTCAAATAACATAAATAAATCTTTAAAAAGAAAAAGAAAGGAAATTACTTCCAATATTTATGAATAGTTCAAAAAAATCAAAGGCAGGAAAGTAATTGAAAAAATCTACTTTATATTGCCAGAATCACTTGTTAGAAATACTGATTTTTAAATAAAATATATAACTTACTGTTTTGATTCATTGTGACAAACTTCCAAGGTTGGATCATTATAAATAAAAGCAGCTTCCAAATCGTTGACCCTTACTCGATATATTCTACACTGTTTACTGTTCAACTTGATTCTGTTCAAGTTTGTGACTGTAGGAAATATAGTCAGTTCCACAAATCCCTGTAAAGACAAAGAACATCTTCATTAGAAATATTGGTGTGTTTTAGAACATATCCTTCCTGTTAACCACTTTTGGCCATTTACAGGATTTCATATAGCATGTAAGAGCAGGGACAGTACAGTATCATAATTAAATTTATGTGTTCTGGAGATAAGACTTGTAATTACATTCCAGCTCTACCACCTAGTATTGTATGGTATCAGGGTAGTTACTCTAGTACTCTGTGCCTCAGTTTCTTCACGTGTAAAATACTCACAACCTTTTAGGGTTTTTATGACAATTGAGCAATTTACTACCCAGAAGAAGACACTTAAAATCATAGCTGGAATCCAGTGTATGGGTAATAAATATTTTTGATAGACTTTCTACTATTTTATTTGTGTTCTGCTATTCACACTATCTTCTAAGCCTATTCATTAATGTTTATGGAAGTCTCCAACATCCACTGAGTAAACAGGCAGATGGAAGAGACTCTCTTTCTCTCCCCAACCCGCGTAACTCTGCCTTTCAAATAAACCTTAAGAAAGAAAAAAAAAAAACAAAAAAAAACAAGAAGTTCCAAATCTCTATCTCCCTCCCACCATTTTTTAACTGCACATACATAGCCACTCACTGTTCAGCTCTATTTAATAGGCCAAAAGCACATGAAATGTATCATTTTCTAATGTGACCTACAACTCTTTCCCTCAACCCCCTCCTTCTCATTGCACTCACACACAGAAAATAAAATAACCATCTACCCAATCACTCAAATTGAACATATTAAGTGCTTACTTAATGTTTACTGAATGATACAGGAGAAAAACATTTAATTGAGAAAATTTAAATTAAAATTTATAAAGTACATAAAAAGAAATTTAGAAGTAGATGCTATACAAGAATACATATATACGGGACATAAAGAACCATGATAGAGTTGACATAAAGTATTCTCAGATGCCAGGAGAAAGGGAATGAAGTACTACTCAAATGATCTAGAACAGGGTTTTTCAACTTTGGCACCACTGACATCTTGGGCTGGAATGTTTCTGTCACGAGGGCTGTCCTGGACACTGCAAGATGTTTAGCAGTATCCCAGGCCTCTACAAGAAATACCAAGGACACCAAAGATGTGACAACCAAATATGTCTCCTAGTGTGGCCAAGCATACCGTTAAGGGGAAAAATCATTCCCAGCTAAGAAACAATAGATTAACAGGTAAAACTATTTTGAATCCCTTGGACTTTCTTCTGAATCTTTCATTCTTTTACTGGGACCTTGTGTCATCTCTTAAGTCTTTTCTGCACTTCCAGTAAGTGAATACGTGACTGTTAAGTGAATTAACCAGTCCTTCAATGCTAGCTCTTTCCTCCCCTTTACTATGCTCCAGCCAGTATTTCTGCCACTACTCCCAATCCCCCTCACACTTGGATATCAAAAACACCCACTTCCTTTGACCTAAGTCCTTTTCTTTTTGTCTCCTTCCCTCTGCTTCTTTGCTTCCACTTTTCTTTAACCTACTAACTGGCTCCTCTCCATTACCCCCACTGAATTTGTATCCACCAAGGTCATCAATGATCTTTAAATTATGAAAACCACCAACCTTTTGAGTTCTCATACTATTTTCTCTTTCTTCAGTACTTGATAATACTGATGACACCCTTCTACTTGAAATATTTCTTCTACTGATACTCTCTCTTTTTTAAAGATTTATTTTACTTATTTGAAAGACAGAGTTAGAGAGAGAGATGACAGAGATAGATCTTTCATTCACTGGTTCACTTCCCAAATGGCTGCAATGGCCAGGACTGGGTCAGGCCTAAGCCAGGAGCCATGCGCTTCATCTGGATCTCCGATGTGGGTACGTGGGCCCAAGTGCTCCGGCCACCTTCCACTGCTTTCCCAGGCACATTAGCAGGGAGCTGGATCGGAAGCAGAGCAGCCAGGACTTGAACTGGTCCCCATAAGGAATGCCAGCACTGCTGGGAGTGGCTTAAACTGCTACGTCACAACATCAGCCCCTCTTCCATTCTCTCTCTCTAAATACATATAAAGATTTATTTTATTGAAAGGCAGAGTGACTGAGGAGACAGGAAAGACAGAGAAAGACATCTTCTATCCACTGGCTCACTCCCCAGACGGCCTCAATGGCCAGGGCTAGACCAAGCTGAATCCAGGAGCTTGCAGCTCCAATTCAGGTCTCCCACGTGAGTGGAAGGGGCCCAAGCACTTAGGCCATCTTCTGCTCTTTCCCAGACATATTAGCAGGGAACAGGATCAGAAGCGGAGTAGCCCGGACAGGACACAGTGCTCTGATATAGGATGCCATCACTGCAAGCAGCAGCCTAACCCTCTGTGCCACAGTGCCAGGCCCCCAATACATACTTTCTTATTTGACATGTTCTAGGCATTACAGTAATGACTGAAACACACACACACAAAAAAACTCTTTTATTCTAAAACTTAAAACAAATGAATAAGGACAATTTCTAAAGAAACAATTAGTTAGGAATAAAACAAAATATATCAATGTGATAGTGTTCAAGAGAGTAATTTAGATTGTGTAGACCCAGAGGGTAATGCTGGGACTGAAACCAGAATGATATGAAGACCTGGTTAGGGAAAGTGTTCCAGAGGTGACAATAAGGACAAAAACAAGTACAGAATTTCTTGCTTCATAGCACACCAATGATTCCTACTTCTGTCTTTCAGACCCCTCTTTCTCAGTCATCACTGTGCCATTTCCCCTTCTTCAATACCTGTACGTGTTCAACAGAATTTTATCATTGGTCTTGTGTTTCTTTTCTATTTAGATAGTACCAAGAGATCACACCTGTCTCTGAAGCTTAACACATAAATCCATATTCCCCTCCAGGCACCTCTATCTTCACTCTGAACTACTTTTATCTACTCATTTTGAAAGTATTTATTTAACACCATTCTGGATGGGGATAGTGGATCAAAGGAAACACAGAAAATCAGTGCTTTTATAAAGCTTACACAGTAGGCAAGAAAACAGATAATGAATGATTCCAAAACAGTGTAACATCAATATATCCAAACACTACATAATATCATGAAATCCAAAAATACTTTACCATAGTCCACCACATATTCCAGTCCTGGCCTATTCCTCTAATCTCTCCCCCTCTTTCTTCTAGTAATACAAGCCTTCTGAGTGTTTCAAGACAGACTAGCACATTTTTACCCCAAGGGGAACAATTAGTCTTATAGGATCAGTCATGTAGGGATAAATAAAGCAAGCTAGGATTTTAGAGAGTAACAGAGGAAACAATCATTTTAAAGTGCCTAGTCCAAAAAAAAAAGGCTTCTCTGAACAAATGGCATCTCAACAATGATCTGAATGAAAAAAACAGAAAGTCTTTGGGGCCGGTGCTGTGCCTCACTTGGTTAATCCTCCGCCTGTGGTGCCGGCATCCCATATGGGTGCCAGGTTCTAGTCCCGGTTGCTCCTCTTCCAGTCCAGCTCTCTGCTGTGGCCTGGGAGTGCACTGGAGGATGGCACAGGTGCTTGGGCCCTGCACCTGCATGGGAGACCAGGAGGAAGCACCTGGCTCCTGGCTTTGAATCGGCGCAGCTCCAGCCATTGCGGCCATTTGGGAGTGAACCAACGGAAGGAGGACCTTTCTCCCTGTCTCTCTCTCTCTCTCTGTCTAGAACTCTACCTGTCAAATAAAGAAAAAAAAAGAAAGAAAGAAAAGAAAGTCTTCTAGTTAAAGGAAGTCCAAGCCCAAAAATCTTGCAACAGGAATGAGTTTAAGTATGTTCAAGGAATAGCCAGAAGGCCAGTACAGCTAGTGAAGAGAAGAAAAGAGTAGAAGGCTCAAAGGAGTAGTCCAAGGCCACATTTTTTAGGGTCCTGTGGGTCATGGTAAAAAATTTTGGATTTTAGTATGATGTCTACCTGAATGTCTTGATAGATCTCAAAATCAAAATGTTAAAACCAAACAATCATATACCTCAATTCTCTCAGCCTTAAAGGGAACATCACCTGTGTTTTAATTAGACCTCAAATGTTCTATCTAAAACCTCGTGACAAAGCAATACCACTTAATCCAGGTCAACTAAGAATTAAAAAATGAAAGTGGGGGCTAGTGCTGTGGCATAGCAGGTAAAGTCACCGTCTGCACTGCCGGCATCCCGTATGAGTGCTGGTTTGAGACCCAGCTGCTGCTCTACTTCCAATCAGCTCTCTGCTACAGCCTGGAAAAGCAGTAGAGGATGGCCCACATCCTTGGGCCCCTGCATCCGTGTGGGAGACACAGAAGAGGCTCCTGGCTTCAGACCAGCCCAGCTCCGGCCATTGCAGCAATTTGGGGAGTGAATCAGCAGATGGAAGATCTCTCTCTGTGGCCCTGCCTTTCAAATAAATAAATAAATCTTAAAAAAAAAAAAATGTGGCCGCTTAGTAGCCAAGTCAATTAGTGAACATACTAAACTTATTTGTGAGAAAAATCTGACTGTGCACTTAGTCATGTTTCATGCACAATTCTAAAAACATCCGGTTATATAGGCTTTCATATTCCACAACAAAGTTAAAGAAATAAAATTCTAATCAAGAAAAAGCAACGAAAGAAAAGAGGAGACTTGAGGAAAAACAAGAGTAACAGCAGGACCACAGCACTTGGAATTACACACACCTGAATTCTTAGTCATACTTATTCTTGAAACACAATTATCTGGAAGAATATTAGAGTTTCTATAGAAGATTGGTTTCAGAACCCCCACAGATACCAAAAACTAGAGGCTCAAATCTTTTACTTTATGCATTATTCATATATAACCCATACATGTCCTTGTATATACTTTAAATCATTTAAACATGCAGTTATTACACAGAATGCAATGTAAATGGTATCAACATAGCTGCTATTCTGTTTCGGTTAGGGACCAATGACAAGAAAAATGTCTGCATATTCAGTACAAAGGCAATTTTTCTTTTCTGAATGTTTCTGAGCAGTATTTGGGTGAATCCATGGATACGGCTGTGCTGTGAGATGAACCTGTTACTCTTTACCAACTGCTGAGAATAAACTTACCACAACGGATTTTCTCTGGAAGTTTATGTTGTTGATGCAGACGACCTGATGGGTTGTATATGGAAAAAAAATAAAAATAGAAGGATAGTTTCAATTACTAAACGAACAGCCTAACTGTACCCAAGTGTAAGTAGGGACTATGTTCACTTTAAAACCTTACAAGGAGGGATTCTTGCTTGTCTTAAATCAAGCAACAGCCACAAAAATAAATTTACTTAGGAAAAAAAAAGTTCAGAACTTTAAGAGTTGTCGCCCTACAAACACCATCTGCACCACAGCGAGTGGTTTCTAGCTCTCCACCGACTCCCCGCCCACCAAGCTCAGTTTCAAGCAATCAAAAAATATAACGAAAACAAGAGCAAAAAAAGGGCAGATAAACAAATACTTATAATTTATACGGCCTTGGGCTTTCAAAACCCTTGTCTCCTTTCTTCCTGTTCATTCTGGTGGGCTCTAAACCAGTCGGCGGCATGAAGCGGTCCCGCGGAGCTGGACTTCCCGGCTTCACTGGGGGCTGCGAGGCATTCCAGGTCCCGGGGACCCGGCGCTTCCCAACCCCTCACGGTCCCCAAAGTCACGCCCCGCGGCCGGATCGCCGCCGCCTCGAACGGCTCCTTAGCTCCGGCTCCGGCCGGCCAGCCGCCGCGGAACTTCAGTCACACGGAGGCTCTACTCCGCAACTGCTCCAAGCGCCTAGCCACCGACATCTTGCCTGTCACCTCTGACCTCCGGCGTCACCGGAAGTGCAGGGCGTCGGAGGCCGCAGCCAGGAAATCCGTCTGTGGGCGGGGCTTGCGCGACAGAACTGTCAGTGCAGTCGCGTGTGTGCTCTAGGAATGGGATCTGTTAAAGTCTGCCACGCGGACAAGACACCTAGTGGGGGAGGCGAGAGGGGACGCGGAATTTTAGACTAGAGCTCTAGCGCAAGCTTCCTGAGGAAAATGGAGGACAAGGTTTGCGACGAGCCAGGTAGACGGGATCCCGGCGAGGGGCCGGCTGCTAACAGTGAACCTCCCGAAAGGAGGGGCGTTCTGTGCAAACAGGTGCGATAACCTCACTAGCTCAGCGATTTAAGCTGTAAAATGGGTGATTAGACCCCAGGCAGTCTGTCAAGCCTCCGAATTCGCACTAGCCTATTTTTAAAGTATTTCTATTTTAAAAGTATTTATTTATAGTGGACATTGTATAACTTTTTCTAACACAGCCACATCAATGCAGAAAAATTTATTGGAAGACAATTTTTTGAGGTCCTGTTTACATTTTCATGTGCATTAAATAAAAATTGATACATAGTTAAATCTGGATTGGTTAATTATAGGTTATCGGTTAACTTTTTTTTTTTAAAGATTTATTTACACAGAGAAGGAAAGGCAGAGGCAGACAGAGAGAGGTCTTCCATCCACTGGTTCACTCCCCAATTGGCCACAACGGCCGGAGCTCCGCTGATCGGAAGCCAGGAGCCAGGAGCTTCTTCCAGGTCTCCCATGAGGGTGCAGGGACCCAAGGACATGGGCCATCTTCCACTGCTTTCCCAGACCACAGCAGAGAGCTGGATCGGAAGTGGAGCAGCCAGCACTCAGGATGCCGCCACTGCAGGCAGCAGCTTTACCTGCTATGCCACAGCGCCGGCCGCATCAGTTAACATTAAGATGTTGGACCAGATTTCATTTTGGGCTACCTGCCCACTCCACCCCCCACCCCCAACTAGCCTGGTTATAAATTCATTAAACTACAATTAATTTAAACTTTGCTGTAAACCAAAACAAATGAGAAAAATTCCAAACCAACTGTAGATTTCTTGTGGCTTCTAGTGAATGTAGGCCAGTATTTATTATGTGATTATAAACTACTCTATTAATATTCTTCTCATAAGATCAATAATCAAACTCATTTTTCCCAAATTGCATGTCTAAACTAACCAAGCAAACATAATGAGCAATTATTAAACCAGTTTCATTACTGTAAACTAATATAAATGATCAATAGCAGCAAGTGATTTCTTATTTTGGTGTAAGATTGAAAGTAAAGCAGAACTCACTTGAGAAATGACATTTAAGTGAATAAGTAATACTCTTCTCTCAAACTAATAAGATTTATTCTCTGAAATGTTTTTAAATGTTAATGATTAGGACATCAAATCCTTTTTTAAAAGTTAATTTATTTGAAAGGCAGAGTTAGAGACAAAGAGAGAGACAGATCATCTATCTACTGGTTTGCTTCCCAAATAGCCACCAGTGGCCAGGGCTGGGCCAGGCAGAAGCCAGGAGCCAGGAGCTTCTCCCAGGTTTCCCATGTGGGTACAGGGCTGCCCAAGCACTTAAGCCATCTTCAGCTGCTTTCCCAGGTGCATTTACAGGGACCTGGATTCGAAGTAGAGCAGCCAGGTCTTAAACCAGGCCTATTTGGGATGCTGGTAGTGCACAAGGCTGCTTAACCTGCTGAGCCACAGGGCCAGCTCCCGACATCAAATCTTAATCAGAGAAATGGGATTTTAAATATAAAAAGCTAAACTTTTTTTAAAAAGATTGATTTATTTATTTCAAAGTCAGAGTTACAAGAAAGAGAGGTCTTCCATCCACTGGTTCACTCCCCAGTTGGCTGCAACAGCCAGAACTGTGCAGATCCAAAGCCAGGAGCCAGGAGCTTCCTCCGTGTCCACCCACGTGGGTGCAGGGCCCAAAGACTTGGGCCATCTTCTACTGCTTTCCCAGGCCATAGCAGAGAGCTGGATTGGAAGTGGAGCAGCCAGGACTTGAACTGGCACCCATATGGGATGCCAGCACTGCAGGTGGTGGCTTCACCCACTATGCCACAGTGCCAGCCTCAACTAAACTCTTCCAATAAATAAAACCATGTGCTCTTTAGAGATATACAAAGAAATAATACTTTGTGTGTGCAAAAGTAATATATTAAACTTAATAAAGAGTAGTAGTTTCAAAATGCTTAAGATAAGGAGAAAAATGCCATAAGAGACTAAGTTTTCAAAGTCAGAAATAAAATGCAGAAGAGGATATTTTTGTCCTTTAATATCCAGGATTTTTACAAAGCAACTTTAGTCCCAAAGAAAAGACTGTTGTTCCTTTAAGAAATGGGTCTTCTTGAATTATAAACTTTGACACCATTCTGCATTGAAGAACGAGAATATTTAGTGAGTAATGCACCTATGGTTTGCTTTTCTCCGCATAAATCTCTGTGGGAACAACAAAAAAAGTGAATAGAATGAATATTTTGAAAACGAAACATATTTACAGTACTAGTTATTTATCCCTCTTCACCTAAATCCACCTTTCCAACTGGCCTAAGTGTGTGTTTGAGGAGAGACAGGCTGAGGACTGGTTCTAAGTGCTAACTGAACTACTTGCACTATATGTGTCTCATCTAACCTTCCCTGTAAGGGTAGGAGTAATGTGTCGCTCCCCCATTCGCGGAGGAACGACACTAGACCCTGCGCTGTTCTTTCTGCCCAGCCCTTCCTGGGTTAGCTGCCGTTCCCTCACTCGCGGAGGAACGACGCTGTCCCGGGTTAGCTGCCGGCCCCCCGCCTCCGTGGAGGGGCGGCACCCCACCGCTTTCCCCGCTTCCACGGAGGAGCAGAGGAGCGGAGGAGCGGCACACCGCCGGCCGGCTCTCTCAGGGGCTGCTCAGATGTTCCTCAGGTATTCCCTCAGATGTTCCTGGTGCATGTTGTCTCTCTCCTCCTTTATAGTCCTCTTCCACCAATCCCAACTCTGCTGCCCACACATCAAGCACGCTGCTCTCCTCCAATCAGCAGCAGGATCAGCTCCTGCAGCTTATCAGTCAAATTGGTGAGGCAGCTGCACAGATATTGTGGGAGATCAGATGCATAGAATTAGTCTTAGTTCCAGTAACTTAGTCTAGTCTCAGTTGCTCCCCACAGTAATGTATGGTTTAACCTTGCATCAGCTATGACAAGGCCGAGGTTGAGACAGAATACAAAACTTTTAAAACGAGTTTTCTTGGGAAAGAGAGCAGAGGATATGCGGTCCATTATGCTGCGATTTTTGTTTCTCAAGATGAGAAACATTACAGAGAATCGTAGGCTGATGGGGATGATTCGGTCGAGAAGGTGGCATTGGTAACACAACTGGGAAGAGGATAACTGGAGAAGCCAAGTCTTTACAAAGGCCAGATGATCTGGTGTAGAAGAAGGACTGGCTGTAGGAGCAGACAGTTCATGCGTCACAGCACAGGAGCAGACAGAGGAGGTTGGCAGATTTGGCAGTGGGAACGAAGGTGGTTCTTGTCTAACTGCTTCTGTTTTCTCAAGACACAAGGTGATAAGCTTAGGGTGAAGAAGCAACAGGGTATTGCTGGTAGAAGAGAAGAGATGTAAAGGAAGCTCCAGGGGTAGAAAACTTTTATGAGAAATGGTGCCTGGCTAGAGGCTCTGCTATGTACCACTGAGGTTCTCAAGTCAGAACAGTGGCCCCATTGAGTATTTTTTAACAAGAAATACCAGCTGCTCAGGTGAAGGCAGAGAGTAAGCAGGAGTTGGATTTAATCTTTTTAGATTTTGCCAGGGAAGTGTGAAAAAAGGAAGAATACAGTGTGAATAGTAGCAACTGGAGAGACTGACAGTGGAATCAAAGCTGGGTAAAGAGAAGTCAAGGACACAAGAGATAAGAGACACAGTGACAAAGCCATCATGTTGGTGGACTTCACGTCAGTGAACTTGAGACCCTACAAGCAGTGACTTCAGGGCTAGCTGCTGCTTCTGAAATACGCCGCCTACCAAAATGTGAAATTGGGGTAGCAGGAAAGACTGGAGGGACAATCAGAGATGGGTGTTTGCCCTAATGTCACCGTAGGGTGTCTACTCTGTTCCTCAAAGAGCTGCAATTTTTCAAGGAGGAAAGCAGCGAAGTGGTTACAGATGCAGTAGTAAGAGCGCACCTACCCACCTCCAGGACCAGCGATTGTAGGGAATGACAGAGGAGACACCTGACAAGCTTTCAAGTAAGCAGGGGATTCTCAGGGTTATGCAAAAATTTGTGTTCTTGTAATAAATCTAAAACTCTCAAAATTCCTTTAAAATAAACTACTCACTGAATATATGGAGCAATATCTTCTTCTGTCCACTTCTCTCTTATAGAGAACAGACTATTAAAACGTTCCTGATCACCTTCAGGTAAGTCATCAACTTTCAGCAAAAATATGATTTCTGGCCTTGAATTTCTATCAACCAACGCTAAACCCTACAAAAAAAAAAAAAAAAAAAAAAACAAGAAAATGGACAGTTAATGATCTGATACTTAAACATGACTCATTCTTTTACCTTTAGGACTAGTTTAGTCCAAGACATTTAAAAGCTCAGCTACACAAAACAAACATTAAATGATACAGAGATTTACAGCACTCCTAGAAGCACGATGGCCCCCACCACCAGGAGTTTATCAAGATGGCTCCAGCCCTAAAGCTAACATCAGTGAGTTGTCAATGCCTAATCCAGCAGGCTCTTCTCTTGAATTCATCCTCCCTGTCTTTTCTTTGTTAATGATGATTACTCCTTTCTTTTTACCTCTGTCCCCTTCTCTTCTGTGGTTCCCTGGACCTCAATCCTGACCCTCCTACTTGTTTCACTGTCACCCTGCTGGGCAACCTCATCTAAACCTGTGGTCTGAACCATTACTTGCTGGCTAACAAATCTAGAATTTGTATGTTCACCTCAACTCTTTGTTCTGAGACCCAGACCTCCATGTCTAAGTGTGTACAGGAACTAACTGTGTTTAATCACCTAAACCTGCTATACTTCCAGTACCCTAGGAAAACAGGGAACCTAGACATCATCCTAGATTCTACTAGTCAAACCCAATACCTAAGTGGTCCCTATCGATATTAAATATTAAATGTTAAAGCCTCAAGATTTCTTTTTCAGTCCTAAATACCTATTTCTTTGGTAAGTATTCTCTTTAAGAAAAGAAAAAAAAAATATTTATTGAAAAGTCAGTTATGGAATGCAGGGTTGGGGGAGAGAGATTCCATCAGCTGATTAACTCCCAAATGGGTGGGGCCACCAGGGCTTAGCCAGATTGAAACCAAGAGCCAGGAGCTTCATCCAGGTCTCCCACATGGGTGGCATGGGCCCAAGCGCTTGGGCCATCTTCTGCTGCTTTCCCAGGCCATTAACAGGGAGCTGGATAAGAAGTGGAGCAGCCAGGACTCAAACCAGCATCCATAAGGGATGCTGGGATTGCAGGCAGAGGCTTTGCCTGCTACACTACAATGCTGGCCCTTGCCAGTCCTCTTAATTAGGAATATTTAAGTGTTAAAAGCCTTGACAGTTCTTTTTTTTCATAATCTAGACAGCCTTCCTTCCATCCATCTTCTGAAAGGTATTAACTGATGAATACCTGATGAGGTAGCTCCTCTAACTGATGTCACTGAATGGTCCCAAAGAGCTTCCTAGACACAGTCGAAACTCTTTAGCTCAATCCATGGTGTCACAAACACTAACAGATTAACTGCAGATGGGTCCGAGCCACCTTACTGAGATAATGAAGGTGGCTTGTGGTGATGCCTAGTAACTAACTCACCAGTACCCTTCACTGCAATAATGCAACTCTACTAACAATGCCTCTGAACGTGGTCTCCTGGATTTCTATCTCTGCTCTTCCTTCCACTTAGAAAGTAAGAGTTCATCCTTCCACGCACAGCAACTTGAACACCATCCCTTCCTTCATAAAAGCATCCTTAATTGATGAGTCTGATGGATGAGCTCCCTCTCCCCTTTTTGATATAACATATTCTACAAGCCTTTTCCATAGTACAGATCATTCTGCATTGTGAGAACAGATTTCTGCATGTAATATGCACCCCCCCATAGCCAATCCCCAGGTTAGTTCTGAGTATCTGAAAGGTACCTCGTTATGACGTCTCCCCAGTACCAGCCATAGTATCTAGACATAAAATGCCTTTTGTTTAATTAAAAAATATTTATGAGCATATAATATATACCAGGCAATATGCCACATATTGACAAACAACAATATGCTATATATTGACAAACAACAATGCTATCAAAGTAGAGTGGGGAACCAACAAAACTCAACATTTTTCCAAAGCTAAATAATGCTAAGTGCCCTAAAGAAAAAAGTATAGGCTGTTAGTACAAGAGGCCTTTTCTTAAGAGTAGAGAATGAAGGAGGGCTCCTTGATGAAGTGACCCAAATATGGGCAGGACATGACCAGGCAAAAATGCAGAGGATATTCCAGAATATAAAGTCTGTGTGAAGGACCTGAGGAGGAAGCGTATTTAATGATTTTGAAATGTGAAAAAAGGCTGGTTTGCTGGGAGCAGGAGAGAAAACAGCCAGAGATGAAACTATAGCAGTGATCATGGAGGGCCCACCAGGCCAAGATACAAATTCTAGATTTTCTATCTTAAATGCAATGGGAAACCTGTACTTATTTAAAGAAGGCATTCATCTCAGTTCACCAGCATTTCTAGAAGATCATTCTAATAGCACCTCAGGGAATGGACTAGAGGAGGGCAAAATTAGAAGTGCAGTGGGCCTGCTTGGGGTGCTGTTGCTATGTTGGAGGCAGCCTATCATGGTAGTTTGGAAAAAGACAATGATAACAAAAATGAAAAGAAATGGAGTGAAATGAGACATATTAGGTGGGGGTGGGATTAATATAAAGAGGCCTAAGGAACCTATTGAGGTGATGGAAGTGCTCCAAAACTCAATGTGGTGATGGCTGCATAACTTTGTAACTTTACTAAAAATCTTTTTAACAAAAATTTTATAATATGTAAATTATACCTGGAGAAAGTATTGGTGTTTTCTAAAGGACCTGGTGACAGGACTGAATGCACAAAGCACTCCAAATGGGTGTTTAGGACAATAAATTGGCTCCAAATTCAGCTCCAACACAAGTACCATTCAGTAATTAATCACCTACTGAATCCCATAGCAACTCTTATTATTACCTTAAGCTGATCAAGCCTAGTTATCATTCCTTCAGGGACACTCTGTTGCCACACTTCTTGAAACTCAGCAAGATTGAATTTCACTGCATTCTGAAGAAGCATCTGTGCTGTTGCTCTGCATATTTTATCAGCACTCAGTTCAAAATAAACTTCACCTAAAGAGAAGTTTCATATTCCCATAATTAAAGAAAGTACTAAAGTTCCCTTCCTTCTTTTCTTTTTTTTTTTTAAGATTTATTTTATTTATTTGAAAGTCAGAGTTACACAGAGAGTGGAGAGGCAGAGAGAGAGAGAGAGAGAGAGAGAGAGAGAGGTCTTCCATCCAATGGTTCACTCCCCAGATGGCTGTAACAGCTGGAGCTGTGCCGATCTGAAGCCAGGAGCCAGGAGCTTCCTCTAGGTCTCCCATGTGGGTGCAGGGGCCCAAGAATTTGGGCCATCTTCTACTGCTATCTCAGGCCATAGCAGAGAGCTGGATGGGAAGAGGAGCCGCCAGGACCAGAATCGGTGCCATATGGGATGTCGGCGCTTCAGGCCAGGGCTTTAACCCACTGCGCCACAGCGCCAGCCCCCCTTCCTTCTTTTCTTAGAAGGAATTATACTTATCAACCCACCTCCTACAACCCCATGGAATCCTAAATGTTAACACTGACACAATTGAGAAAAGTATACCAATTTTAACATACAAGACATTACAAATGCCCTCTAGAGTACTTTCCTTACCTTCGTCTATGTATTTCTTTCCATAACATTTAAGACAGTGTTCTATCATTTCCCTGAAAAATTTAAAACACTCATGAGAAGCTATTCACATTTCTATACACTATATTTAAATCCCCAGTTAAGTAGAATTTATAATATAAATTTCAAATTTGAAACAACTAAATTATTGGGTTACCAAATAGTAATTTATGTAATTAAGTTAGCATCTAACTTACACTGTGACCAGACCCCAAACTAGATATTTAACATAAATTGTTTATATAAATTTATGATTATAACTCAAACATATATTTCTTTATATTTTTATGACAAAAAATAAAAAGATACTATGCATTGATTCGCCCCAGTGACCAAAGTTCCCTACTTCTTTTTCATTCTGTATTTTAAAAATTCCTCTGATATCAACACATAAATAGTCCATGCTCTGAGTTCAGTTTCAATCTGTATAAGAAATTTCTTACCCTTAAGATAGTCTGGCAAGACACATAATTAAAATACTTACTCTGGCTCCAATGGTCCAAGTTCCTGAAGACATGTACTCAAAGGAACTTTATTAAACGACCAAGATTCAGAATCCACAAGCTGAGTTACATGATTCAGAAGTTTCATCTCATAGTCAAATTCAAGAATTCTCCAATAACCTATAAATTCCAACAGTCACATTTATCAAAGAACATTTTCAGTGAATTAATTAACTAATAAAGTAGCAGCATCCTCTAGCTTCTAGAAAGAAACACTAAATATCTTCTCTTTCTTTAAACAATGTTCTTTTTATGCTTTTCTCAAAATCATTTTGTCTTTGAGGGCAATCAAGTGGCTTTTAAAGAGAACTTTACAAATGACTAACACTTTCTGGTTTTTTATCCCCCAAGTGTTTTAATACCCTATTATTTCACAATAATTTTGTTGCTCTAAGTGGAAACGCAGAAATCTGCAGTTGGTACAGTCTCTTCTTTATAACACTACAAAAAAGTCCATGTTCTGGGTCGTATATCCTACCTGGCAATCTCTACTGTGCTGGTTTTAACTCTCATCACAGCTCCCTTACAGAAGTGCTCTCATTCTCAGCCAAGAGATGATAGACTTTGGGTGTAACGCGGATGAGGGGGGAAATAAAGACTGGGCACCAAGATCCTTTTCCCTATTCCCATCAAAGGTTATGAAACGTCACTTTGTAATTGATGGCACAGTCTAGAGAACATAATCAAGAACACATCCACCATTTCCAAAGGAGAGTGTTTGTGTTCTTATTCTAAAAAAGTAAAGGACAACATTAAAAAATGCGTTGTGTGGGGGGCCAGCTTTGGGGCATAGCGGGTTGGGACTCTCACGCCTACACTAGCATCCGGTTTGAAATCCAGCTGCTCCACTTCCAATCAGCCTTCCTAATGGTGCACCTGGGAAGGCAGGAGAGGATGGTCCAAGTGCCTGAGCCCTTGTACCCACATGGGAGACCTGGAAGAAGCTCTGGGCTCCTGGCTTTAGCCTAGCCTGACCCAGCCATTGCAGTCATTTGGAGAGTGATCCAGTTCATCGAAGATTCTCTTTCCCTGTGTGTGTCTCTCTCTCTCTTAAATAAACAAAAAACAAATCTTTTAAAAAATGAGTTGTGTGATGTAATCCAGGCATCCCCTGACTAAAATTTTATCCCTCTCCATGCAGTCACTGAATAATGCAGTTATGTTAAAATACAGTTTTTGGCTTGCCTTTTTAATGATTGTTTATATTAGTTATATTTTTAAGATTTATTTATTTACTTCCAAGGCAGTTACAGAGAAAAGTCTTCCATCAACTACTTCACTCCCCAAGTGACCATAACAGCCAGGGCTGGGCCAGGTCAAAATTAGGAGCCAGGAACTCCATCCAGGTCTCCCGTGGCAGTGTAGAGACCCAAGTATTTGTTGTTTTCCCAGCCACATTAGCAGGGAGATGTGTCGGAACTGAAGCAGCCAAGACTTGAACCAGCACCCATGTGGGATGTCAGCATTGCAGGCAGCAACTTAAACCACTGTGCCACTGGCCTTCTCCCCCACCCCCCCCCCCCATTATAACATTGATGACATCCATGTACCACAGTAATTATTAGGAAGCACTCATGGGGTCGGCACTGTGGCGCAGCAGGTAAACGCCCTGGCCTGAAGTGCCGGCATTCCATATGGGTGCCGGTTCTAGTCCTGGCTGCTCCACTTCCGATCCAGCTCTCTGCTATGGCCAGGGAAAGCAGTAGAGGATGGCCCAAGTCCTTGGGCCCCTGCACCCGCGTGGGAGACCTGGAAGAAGCTCCTGGCTCCTGGCTTCAGATTGAAGCATTTCCGGCCGTCACAGCCATTTGAAGAGTGAACCAGTGGATGGAAGACCTCTCTCTCTGTATAACTCTGACTCTCAAGTAAAAAAAGAAAAAAAAAAAAAAAAAGGAAGCACTCATAACAAAAACAACTTTATTTTAGATTCCTAAGATAAGTGAGGTTTTTTTTAAAGATTTATTTTATTTGAAAGGCAGAGTTACACAAAGAGAGGAGGGGGGAGAGAGAGAGAGAGAGAGAGAGAGAGAGGTCTTCCATCCACTGGTTCACTCCCCAGATGGCCACAATGGCTGGAGCTGTGCCAATCCGAAGCCAGGAGCCAGGAGTTTCTTCTGGGTCTCCTGCGTGGGTGCAGAGGCCCAAGGATTTGAGCCATCTTCTACTGCTTTCCCAGGCCATAGCACAGAGCTGGATTAGAAGTGGAGCAGCCGAGTCTCGAACTGGAGCCCATAAGGGATGCTGGCGCTTCAGGCCAGGGCATTAACCCACTGAGCCATAGCGCCAGCCCCAGATAAGTGAGTCTTGAGGAACCACAACTCAAAGCTAAGTGCTGCTTGTTAGTTCTAAAGTTGCATCCTTCCTTAGCAGAATTTGACAGTTAAGGTTCCACAAAAGACAGTCTTGTTTGGAAGATTATCAGAAAACTGAAGAGTATATCAGCTAACCCATGCTAATTTCTCCCTTCCGAACACAGGAAAGCTGCTTCCCTGGGCCAAAGATGCATGAAAATGTCTTTTCCAGGATTACTGTTAGCCCAGAGGTTGAACAAAAAGTTCCCCAGAGAAGAGGCCAGTGAGAATATTAAAGATGATGCTTTGGGGGCCAGTGTTGTGGCACAGTGGGTAAAGCCGCAGCCTGCAGCACTGGAATCCCATATGGGCACTGGTTCAAGTCCTTGCTGCTCCACTTCCAATCCAGCTCCTAGTTTATATGCCAGGAAAAAGCACAGGAAGATGGTCTAAGTGCATGGGCCCCTGATACCCAGGAAGGAAACCTGGAAGAAGCTCCTGGCTTCTGGCTTCAGACATGTCTAGCAGCCATCTGGGGAGTGAACCAGCAGATGGAAACTCGCTCCCTCGCTCTCTCTCTCTTTCTCCCCCTCTGTCTCTGTAATTTTGCCTTTCAAATTAATTAATTAATTAAAAAAATGACAACACTATGGGGCTTACCCATCAGCCTGAAACACACTCCCAGATCTTTTTTACAGGTGTATTATACAAACCAATGCATGTTCAACAATATACTGGAGAGATCAAAAGAAGAAACAAAGTTCTACCTTCCAAGCAATTTAGAAATACAGTGAGGTTATTGTTAGTTCTGAAATAGGTGTTACAAGATATGGGGTCTATGTCATATCCCATCAGTAACTCAATATGAAGCCTTCAGCAAGTTGGTTCCCATTCCTAGGCTTTAGTTTCTTCAACTATTAAAGAAAATGAAACTATTAGCCCACCTGGTGTCTAAGGACCTTTTTTGATCAAACATGGTTTCTCTACTGCCACTTCACCCAGAGGGCTTCTCAGGCGAAGTTAAAGTCACCCGTGGCAGACTGACTTCCTGACATAAAGATGATCACCCAATCTCTATACCATACCAAAAATGAACCCCAAAGACAATTAAATAAACAGTAGGCAATGGGGTAAAGATGTCCAAAAACTTCCTTTTCACATGATGCCTAATTCTATCATTATTAATAATAATAGTAAGTAACACTACCTCCAATTTCACAGGCATTTAGAACTTGCAACTGGGTCATTATTTCATCCTCACTTGCCTGAATTTGATCAAGCAAATCATCAGTCGTATACTGAAAAAAGAAAAAAAAAATTTAAGCCCTTTCATGAAAAGTATTTTCAAGATTTCTTCATAAATTTGGAGAGAATAAAGACATAGGACAAATTAAGGCAATATTTATGCACTAGCTCAGTTTCTTGTGTTAACATATAATCATTATGATATCTTGGAAGAAAACATAAGAAGGAAATCTTTGTGACATTGGATTTGGTAGTGGTTTCTTAATACCAAAACCACAGGCAGCCAAAGAAAAGGATAGATCAGTTGGCTAGCACCAACAACACAAAAGGATAAATGTTGTATATGAGGTATATAGGGTTATGGAATTCATACAGAGAGAAAATAGAATGGTGGTTGTCAGGGACTGGGAGAGGCAGGAATGGAGAGTTAATATTTAATGAGTACAGTTTCAGTCTGGAGAGATGCTGAGGTTCTGGAGATGTATGGTTCTGATGGTCGCACAGCACTATGAATGGACTTAATGATACTGAACTATGTATTTTATAATGGTTAAAATGGCATATTTTATGTTATAAACATTTTATCACAATAAAAGTTAAGAAAGTGAAAAGACAACCCACAGAATTAGGTAAAATACTGGCATTTCACACATTTGATAAGTGACTTATATCTAGACTATAAAAAGAACTCTCTTACAACTAAGTAACAAAGAACAAACAACTCAATTACAAATCAGGCAAAGGAATAGAATAGAAATTTCTCCAGACACACAAGTGGCCAAAAAGCCCTTGTAAAGATGCTCAACATCATTAGTCATTAGGGAAATGCACACCAAGACCACAATGAGATACCATGTCAAACTCACTCTGATGGGTTTGTGGCTGAAATTTTCACAATGTAGTTTCAAAAGAATGTCACCATTGTGTGACTCTAATGATTGTTGCTTATATTTTAATTCTAATAAAAAACTTTTAATAATAAAAATAATTAAATTCTTACTTTTGAACGATTTGAATCCTTTTCTTTTTGACTGTCAGGTCCTTCATAGGTATTTTCCATCAAAAGTTTCTTTAGCTTCTTTAATTTAGGTCTACATCTTCTTAACTCCCAATAATTATTAGAAAAACCAAAGATCTAGAAATTATAATAGATTATAACTTTTTAGGGCATTCTAAAAGAAAATTTCACACAAAATTCCATCTATCCCATCTTACCTCAAATAGAACCAAGTAGAGAAAATGAGTGTTGTGATGAAGTGGGTTAAGCCACCTCTTGGAACACATGCATGCATAGCAGAGTGCCTAGAATCAAGTCTTACCTTTGCTTCCAAACTAACCTCCTGGAAGACAAGAGATGATAGCTCAATACTTGGGTTCCTGCTTCCCACATGGGAGAATGTGAATGGAGTTCCTGGCTCCCAGCTTTGGCCTCGCCTAGCCCCAGCTATTGTAAGCATTTGGGTAGTGAAACAGCAAGTGGAAGATCTCTCTCTGTCACTCTGCGTTTCAAATAAATAAACTTAAGTAAAAAACATTTAGATAAATAAAATTTTAAAAAAGAATTAAGTAAATGAAGCTTTCTATTGGGAAGGTACTGTTGATGGATGATGGGCATCTTTAAGAATAAATTCTCTGAAATTTATTAGGACACTGCCATCAACACAATGAGAACCAAAAACCAAGATTCATACTCAGGTGAACTCTGGAAAGCAAAGCATGCACAGCAGAGAATGATCAGGATGGTGACGATTCTGAAAACCAGAAGGAAACAACTGAAATCTAGTACACTTGGGTTGAAACAAAAAGCACATAAGAGGTATCATCAGAGTCTTCACATAACAAAGACTGTTAAAGGGAAGAGAAGTACCCTGTATTGCTCATGATGTCAAAATTAAACAGTTAAGGGAGAGAGACTTCTGCTCAGTGCCAGAACTTTCTACAACTTAGAATTAGAGCTAGTTCCATTGTAGGACTTGTGAAACAGTGAGAGGCCTAGCATTTGAGGCTGACAGAGGCTACATGATGGACAATCACCTGTTATCCTTCTCTGTACCTCCAGGATTGTCCTATATCTAGTAGTTAGCAGGTGCTCACTAAGTGTTTCATGAAAGAAGGAAAATAAGTTGAACTGGACTATCATCGGGGTGCCTTCCAACTCTAAAATGGAAACACAGAGAATGCTTCTGCTCTCAAAGTTTTGGTGGACAAGACGAAGTATATAGCCTGCAGGAGATGCTGCTGAATCTAAGGGCTTCAAAAGAAAAGCTTAAGCGCCAAACCACAAAGATTGATTTTATCCACAGTTCAAAGTGATAGTCTTCTGGCTATATCCAACGCAGAGATGTTGGCTTCTTCTATGCATTGAGATGGAGGAGGAGATGGAGAAAGGTTCAGCACAGTGTTTAAATTAGATGTAAGCATTAACAAAACAAGAAAAAAAATTTTTTTTGACCCACAAATCTAAATTTCAAGCTTTACTTGAAAAAAAGAAATTCAAAGATCTGGCAATACTGGGCTTGCTTTTCTCACAAGGTGACTGAGTAGTGGCCACCCACCTCCTTGGCACTGGTGCTCTTCAATTTGCCATAAACCCAACCATTCCTTATTTTTTTATTTTATTTTATTTATTTATTTATTTATTTTTTGACAGGCAGAGTGGATAGTGAGAGAGAGAGACAGAGAGAAAGGTCTTCCTTTGCCGTTGGTTCACTCTCCAATGGCCGCCGCGGCCAGCGTGCTGCGGCCGGCACACCGCGCTGATCCTATGGCAGGAGCCAGGTGCTTCTCCTGGTCTCCCATGGGGTGCAGGGCCCAAGTACTTGGGCCATCCTCCACCGCACTCCCTGGCCACAGCAGAGAGCTGGCCTGGAAGAGGGGCAACCGGGACAGAATCCGGCGCCCCGACCAGGACTAGAACCCGGTGTGCTGGCGCCGCAAGGTGGAGGATTAGCCTAGTGAGCCGCGGCGCCGGCCCCAACCATTCCTTATTACTCCTGAGTATATACTTCCATTATCAGCCCCAACCTGCTTTGCCCATCCTTTCCCAAGCCCTTTTTGTGTCTGAAGTATAACCACAATTAAAACTTTCATTAGTGGATCTTTGTTAAGTTTTACTCAGTCTCTGTACACAGAATCCCCATAACAAGAGCTCAAAGTTAATCACAAAGATTATCATACCCTCATAAAACAACTACAAAACAAGCAGGTAATGAAAAAGTAACATTTTTTTTTACAAAAGTTCAAGTGAACTCCCAATATGTTTAGGTAATTACAATGTAAGACATAACCCTACAAAAACCAAAATACAGTATTTATTGGGCGTTCTGTGCTAGTAAAATCACATGAATCACTGCAGCTTCCCAGCATTTTCCCTTCTTTCCTCTCCAATTCTATTTTTAAGGAAATAGTTGGCCTGAAGTCACTCTGCAAAAATTACGGCCTGTGCTTTGATTGTTATATGTGTAGCAACTAGACAGGATGGAGACTTTTGTTTGGTAACTGCCATCCGTACTCTCGTATTCTCGAACATGATTTAAAATGTGTTATATCTGGCTAAGGATCATAATGAACTAAACCAACTTGAAAGCTAAGAAACACTTTCCCTTCAAAAACTCAAATTTCCTCATTTCTCTGCATCACAAATTTTACCAGATGCACTAGTTCGGGTTTGAAGAAGTCTTTTCTCAAAACACATCCACAGTAAAATTTACTAAAAATAGGTAAAACATTTAGAATGAGTCATCAAATAGCAAACTTTCCACATTACAGAAAATGATTAATTTCTATGGGAGTTAACAATTCAAAAATGGGAAAATAAAGGCAAGTTCACAAGACTGTAAACAAACAATAATAATAATTCTGAGAAATTTTCAATTTCATTAGAGAACTCCTTAAGTTCCCCATGATTATACAGTTTATATCTGAAGTTTTCAAAGTAAAGGTAAGATGAGTAGGGGTCATCCTTCTCAGACTTACAGAAAGTCACTTCAAAAGGTTTACGGAAAACAGAATTCAAAGGTAACTATTATAGTGTGAAACAGTTTTGAAGTCCATGCATAGTTTTTTCATAATATGAACTTTCCATCAACTTTTAGAATATCCTTTTCATGCATGGATTTCAAAATTGTTTTACACTAGACTTAACATTTTTTTTCAGTGTTTATTTATTTTCATCTACTTGAAAAGCAGAGCGACAAAGAGAGGGATCTTCCATACACTGGTTTACTCCCCAAATGCCTGTGACAGTCGGGTTGGGCCAGGGCCAAGCAGGAGTTCTAGGAGCCAGGAATTCCATCCAAGTCTCCCACAACCCAAGCACTTGAGTCATTATCTGCTGCCTCCCATGACGCATTAGCAGGAAGATGGATCAGAAGTGGAGCAACCAAGACTCAAACTGGCACTTTGAAAAGGGATATGGGCATCCTAAGAGGCAGCTTAACGGGCTGAACCACCATGCCCACCCCAAAACGTACATTTTAATTGTATGAATTTTTTGAAGTACCCTCAGATAGATCAGGAAACAGAATACCTCAGAGTGAATAATGTTACAGTGTGTTTCTTCCTTCTTCAGCTGATCAGGAGTTTTACAACCGGGAATGAAAAGCAACATATTTGAAGTATCTGCTATTTTCAAGTCATATGTTTTGTCTTTACTGCACAGCACTGCTTGTTCATCTTTATCACCACGAATCACAAAACTGCAGGTAAATGGGGGAAAATATATAGGGTTTTTTTGAGACTCCAGTAAGCATTTTCATTACCAACGTTTCAAAACCTTTTATGCTTGTGGAACTTAAAACTAAATCCTGATGCTATGTCAGCCCCTTCTGGAATAATGATGGATTCCACAGAGCAAGGACTAGGCCAGAGGCAAGCTGGATGAGTACTCAGTGTCCAATTAAGAAAAAACAACTAATGACAGGCAAGAAAGATCCAAAGAGGCCAAAAGACCAAATGTCTTCACATTTGTGCAAACTGCTTCCCAAGCAAAGCATCTACCGGAAGTTAATTAAGATGTCACTAGTTTCTGGGGTGGGCATTTGGCCTATGATGCTGCAGGCTGGGATGCCTGCATTCCGTATCAGATACTTGGCTTAGGTCCTGACTGCTCCAGATTCCAGCTTCCTGCCAGTGCAGGTCCAGGGAGGCAGGAGTTGATGGCTCAAGTAGTTGGGTTCCTGCCACCCACATGGGAGACTCAGATTGAAGTCCCAGCTCCTGGAATCAGCCCAGCCCAGCTCCTGCAGACATTGTGGGGAGTGAGCCAGCAGATGGGAGGTCTCTCTGTCTCTTACATAAATAAAATATATGAATAATAAAGATGTCACAATTTCCTAAAACATGCCAAGACAGTATTTTTCAAATGTACCCACAACCATCCTAAGAGATTCCAGTTAAAAAGTAGATTGGAATTTAGTAGCCTGGGATGGGCCCTAGGATTTTGTGTTTCTAACAAACTGCCTGGGGATGACCACGCTGCTGCTGTTCCTGGGAACCACCCAAGAGTCCTCCTCCTTTTTTATTCTGAGTATCCTCTAATAATCAGCGCAGCACATGCTGGCCTAACCATCAGCTGTGCTGCAAAAAACAAAAACAAAACATAGCAAAACAAAACCTGCAGACCTTAGTAAAGACGGCTGCAATGCTGAAAGAAAAATAATGCAAGGGATGTGTTTATAAGCTGGAGTAAAGGGAGTTTATCACAGCCGAAGAGAAGTAAGGAGGAAGAGAAGGATTAAGGTGAGGAGGAAGGAGAAAGAACAAAGACAAAAGTGACACAGATGACAACAAGCTGCTTGTGGAAGTCCTCCCTATCTGTGAAGCATGCAACCCTCCTGTACACAACCACTCCTTTTAAATAATAAAAAGCCTGAGATAAAATTCCATGTAATTTTTTAATGAAGCTTTCATTTAGGTGACAACAATAAAAGATTTTTTAAATTCTTGATACTAATAATTTTTTTAAGATTTATTTATTTATTTGAAAGGTACAGTGACAGGAAGTAGAACAGAAAGAAAAAGACCTTCCCTGCCATGGTTCACTCCCCAAATGCCTGCAACAGTTGGAGCTGAGTCAGGCTGAATCCAGGAGCTGGGTCTCCATTCAGTCGGCAGGAACCCAAATACTTGGACATTTCCTGCTGCCTCCCAGGCTCATTAGCAGGAAGCTGGATCAGCAATTCAGGCAGGACTTGATCCTAGGCACTGGACACGGGATGTAGGCATCCTAGGTGGTGGCCTAACTCCCATGTCACAACACCCACCTTCTACAATGTTTATTAGGCCCAAATACCTATTATGTTTTCTCTTTTAAATTATTTGAGGGGTCAGCGCTGTGGCATAGTAGGCTAAGCCTCTGCCTACGGCGCCAGCATCTTTTATGGGCACTGGTTCATGTCCCACCTGCTCCTCTTCCAATCCAGCTCTCTGCTTATGGCCTGGGAAAGCAGTAGAAGATGGCCCAAGTGCTTGGGCCCTTGCACCAGTGTGGGAGACCCAGAGGAAATTCCTGGCTCCTAGCTTCTGACTGGCCCAGTTCTGGCCATTGAAGCCATTTGGGGAGTGAACCAGAAGATGGAAGACCTGTCTCTCCCTCTCTCTGTTTGTAACTCTGCCTCTCAAATAAATAAATCTTAAAAAACATAAGTTAGTATTTAGTTGAGAAGCAGAGAAACAGTGAGAGAGCCCCCATCCTCTGATTTTCTCCACAATTGCCCACAACAGCCAAGGCTGGCCAGACTGAAGCTGGGAGCTGGAAACTCAATCCCTATCTGCCATCCTAGGGTCTGCATTAACAGGAAGATGGAATCAGGACATACAGCTGGAATTTAAACCCAAGTATTCTGAAGTGGGTCATACAGTGTCTAACATGTCTAAATACCCACCTCCTCAGAATATTTTTATAATGGCCAACTCTCCCCTAAAACACGTTTCTAGTCCTTTTTGTTTTCCAGCCAGCTAATTACCTAAAACTGGTGGACAGAATAGGATGAATGACATTTCCCTTAAGTTCTGTTACCTGCAGACTGGCCAGTTACCTGTAACACTATTGGATAGGTACAGGATGCAACCAGAAGACACTCTGAAGGTTTTAATCAAAAGGATGTACAGGGGTCAGCGCTGTGGCGCAGCGGGTTAAAGCCCCAACCTGCAGCACCAGCATCCCATATGGGCACTGGTTAGAATCCCAGCTGCTCCACTTCCGATCTAGCTCTCTGCTAATGTGCCTGGGAAAGCAGTGGAGATGGCCCAATCCTTGGGCCCCTGCACCCATGTGGAAGACCCGGAGGAGGCTCCTGACTCCTGGCTTCGGATTGGCTCAGCTCCAGCCATTGCAGCTATTTAGGGAATGAACCAGTGAATGGAAGACCTCTCTCTCGCTCGCTCTCTCTCTCTCCTTCTCCCTGTAACTCTGTCTTTCAAATGAATAAAATAAATCTTAGAAAAAAGGGAACATACAAGAGATAAAGTTACCAAATAAAATACACTGGTCAAAGGAAGTTGGTGCAGAAGAAAATCAGGTTTGTGCCCCAAAATGTAATGTGCAGAAGTTGGGACTGCATAAAGTTGAGGGACACACAAATGCCCAGAACTCTCAAGACAGCCTTGAAAAACTACCTCACTTTTGGATTTTTTTTAATTTTTAAAAGATTATTTTTTGCAAGGCAGAGTGGTAGAGAGAGAGGGATTTTCCATCCTCTGGTTCACTCCCCAAAAGGCTACAATGGCCAGGGCTGGGCCAGGCCTAAGCCAGGAGCCAGCAGCTCCATCTGAGTCTCCCACATGGTTGAGAGGCCCAAGCTCTTGGGCCATTTTCCCTTGCCTCCCCAGACACATTGGCAGGAAGCTGGTATAGAAGCAGAGCAGCCAGACGCTAAAGCACACCCCAACAAGGAATGCCAGCGTTCCAAGTAGCAGGGTAACCAGCTATGGCACCAGGCGGGCCCCTGGGTATGTTTTCTCATCCATGGTCGTGCAGAAGATTTGCAGAAATTGAGAAACAATTTTCAGATCTTCATTGAGTGACCCCTTGCAAGTGTGTGTTGGGGGCCTACCCAATGACCTGGGCTGGCCTTTGGCCTTTATCTTACTCCAAACACGTCCTGTTATCTGAGTAAAGGAAATACAAGATGAAGGCATAAATCCCTAGAGCTTAGATATCACCGTTGTATTTTTGGGCAGGGTGACAAGCAGTCCTGTGGCATCCCTGACATCACTGTCAACGTGTTCAGAAACTTCACCAGGGTTCAACTTCCTCACCTGTACCCGCAGACTCACGCCTCCAAGCCTCCCGGACCAGAGTTCTTACTAGCGCGCAGCAATCCTACGGCTAGCAGGGAGCTTGAAGCTGTGCGCCCAGGGCCAAATCCATGCCCCTCTCTGGCACGTTGCCTTCTGCTGAATTTTCCCGCTGGGAAACCCAGAAGGGGTCCCCCGGCCCTGCTCACCTGTGCCCGGCCTCCAGCTGCTGGCACAGCGCGGGCTCCAGCTCCAGCAGGCAGAAGTCGCCGCCGCCGGCCCCGGGGCCGAAGCTTAAGCAGTGCACGGCAGGCAACAGCTCGGCCGCGTTCACCTTGGCGATCTGCAGCGTGGCGTCCACCTCATCGCGGGTCCTCTTCATGGCGGCGTCCGCTCAGGGAGTCCTGTAACAACCGGAGGACAGAAAGGACCCGCGAGACGCTCACGAAATACAGATCGTTCCAAAAGCGCGCCAAGGAGCCTGGGCGCGCGCTTCCGGGGCGGAGCGCGTCACGTGCGCGTCCCCGCAAAGGTCGCGCGGCTCCCGGGAGCGCGAGCTCCTCCGCGGCGGGGTCGCCGCGCGGCGCGGGGCGCGCAGGAAGGAAACTGACGGGGCGCGGCGGCCCCTTAGAGCGCAACCCGGAACCTCAGCCCCTTCTTCCGCTGCCTCCTCCATGGTTTCCTTCCTTCCCAGCCAGATAATCTCGTCATCTCCCAGTGCTGGCGCTGGGATGGCCGCTCTGGCTGTGTAACTTCAGCAACCTTTACCGCAGCCCTGCAAGGTGGACCCTTGGTCTTTCTGGTTTGCGAATGAGCGAGCAGACGACCTGCCTGCGGAGGCACATCCAGGAAGGCGGATGGCAGCCTAATTCCAACGTCTAATTCCAGCCTGGTCAGCTGTGGTGCGAAAAGTTAGCCTTAAAGGTTTTGTGCCAACAACCCAGGACCCGGAGCGAGGTCCCGGGGGACTCTCACGGGCATCTCTAGTTTCTGGGGCTGGGAGACCACGGCTTGGACTAGGTCTATCCATTCCTTGAGTACTTGGTTTGTGCTGGGTGGCAGGTGAGATGCTGGGACCAGGGTCAAGAGCAAGCAAGCCTTCTAGGACTGGGAAGGCCCTGCAGCCTCCCTGGGGAGACAGGTGAACTCACCGCTGTGGGATGTGTGAACAGCCCACTGGACTTTGTCCAAGGTGTCCTCCACGTTTAGTGAGCTGGACACACCTTTTAAGAGAGAAGCTCAGGCCGGTGCTGCGGCTCACTAGGCTAATCCTCCACCTGCGGCGCCAGCACACCGGGTTCTAGTCCCGGTCAGGGCGCTGGATTCTGTCCCACTTGATTCTGTCCCAGTTGCCCCTCTTCCAGTCCAGCTCTCTGCTGTGGCCCGGGAGTGCAGTGGGGGATGGCCCAAGTGCTTGGGCCCTGCACCCCATGGGAGACCAGGAGAAGCACCTGGCTCCTGGCTTTGGATCAGCGGCCATTGGAGGGTGAACCGACAGCCAAAAGGAAGACCTTTCTCTCTGTCTCTCTCTCTCTCTCTCTCACTATCCACTCTGCCTGTCAAAAAAAAAAAAAAAAAAAAAGAGAGAGAGAGAGAGAGCGTGCGAGAGAGAAAGCTCAGTGGTGCATTCCCACATCTGTGAATAACTTGTAACCCCATGAGGTGGTGAACTCTCTCACCATTCCTGTCCGGACTCATGAGGCCCCTGGCTGCCCCCAGAGAGCTGAAACAGCCTGGGAGGAATATTCCACTGATGAGAGCCTGCACTCCTACTAGTTTGTGTAAGTAAGACCTTCATCCAAGTCAAACAATGTGGCGGTGGCAGCTGGGTGAGAGGTTGCTGCTGTGGTTTGATAATGATTAGTTCATCCAAACTCATGCAGGAATTTCGTCCCAGGCAGTCTTACCTTAATAACATAAAGAGGGCGGAAACAAATCCAGCCTTGGAAAATGATTAGGTTGCATTAGGTCTCCTGTGATTGAATCCTGGTGGCTTTATGAGGAGGAGGGGGAGCCCACACTAACACACAAGACATGCTGCTTAGACCATGGCAGGATACGATGCAGCCAAGGGGAGACCTTCACCAAGAAATGTGTCATGGTGTTTGGAGGTGAAACCTTCAGGACTGTGAGCCAAAAAATTTCTTTATCAAAGAGGCTGCCTCAGGAATTTTGTCAGAGTCACAAAAAGCTGGATAATACAGTTGCATCCAAAGGAAAGGAGCAGGTACTTCCTTTTTTCAGCTTGGGTGAAACTGCATGAAAATGCTAGAAGATTCATTTTGGTTCTTCTTCCTCTGCTCCTCTCCCTGTTCCCCTCCCCTGTCCTCACCCCCAACATTTCTTCCTCATCCCAAGCAGCATTTTAACTGCTGTGGTAAATGCCCCCTTGCTACTAGGGTTTTCCTCTTCTTTTAATAAAGTCTGCATATCTGGTAATGTGGAATTCATTTCTGTGAGAGTGGGCTGCGGCTACCAATAGTTTCTTCATCATTCTCTCCAGGCCTATGCCAGCCACTCAATTTGGAAACTCCTGTCCCTCAGTTCTGGGAAGTTTTCTTGTAGGACTTCATTGAAAACATCCCCTCACCCCTGCCCCCGATTTTCTGTTCTGTATGTCTGAAATCTAATTTTGAACTTCTATATATATACCTGAAAGTTTCCATTACAGATGTTTAATTTTAGAAAGATGTCTTAGGTAGAAACTTATAGAGTAGTTCAGAAAGAAATGCCAGGTAGAGCAGAGAAAAAGATATGGAAGTAGACAAAGCCAGAAAGAATAGGTGAGAACTTGTACTGATTCTGAAGCATCAGAACTTATAGGAGGAGTGGGAAAGAACAAACACTCAGAATGCACGCATCTCTTGTAGGGAGTAAGAAGAGAAGAGTTAAGATGAAGATCACCAGTTACTGAGCAGGTCTCAGTGCCCTCGTGGAGATAGGAAAGTACACTAGGAAATCATTGGATTGTTTGAATCAGTGGAGTGATGTAATCAGATTTAGAAATTAAAAAGATTATTTACTAAAACTGATGGGTCAAAGTCTGGTAAAGAAGAAGGAACTTACATAGCCTCCAAAAACCTGCCTAAAAATTGCTTGTTAGTTTCAAAGGCAAAAACCAGGAACTATATGATGATAAACCTGGAAGATACCACCTCAACTGAATGATCACAGCTAACATCACTAATACAATAGTTCTCATCATGTACCTCATGAAACGATGTCCTGAGGAGAACATAGCAACTCTTTGGTGGCAATCCTGTCAAAAAAAGTAACCCGAACCTAAAGAAAACACTGGACAACTCAAATTGAGGGACATTCTACAAAATAGCTATACTGTTCACAAATCACAAGGTTATGAAAGACAATAAAGACTAAGCAACTGTTTCAGATTAAAAGAGAAATAATAACTAAAGGTAATATGTCATTCTGGATTAATTCTGTACTGAGAAAAATTCGTGCTATTTTGGGGCCAGTATTGTGGTACAGTGTATAAAGTATTTTTGCAACAAAGTAAATTTATCTTTCAATTATACTTTCCATGAACTTTTTCAAGTACTTTCAGGTTATCCTGTCCTGCCTCCTCTTCTATGCTTTTCTGTAGCATCAGGCGCCAGCTTTCTTGTAAGGTCTTTCCTTGTGTCATATTTCCCCTTGCCATTCAAGGGTCTGTTTACCTGGCATTTTTTCCTCTTTTTTTTTTTTTTTTCCTAGTGAACACCTATTCATCTTATTCAGAGATGCTGGAATTGTTCTATGTCTGTACAGTTTAAATTGGTAGCTACTGGTCCCATGTGGCTTTTGAATACTTAAATGTGCACAGAGAGAGGAGGAATTGAATTTTAAAATTTATTCCATTTTAGTTCATTTAAATTTAAATATCCATATGTAGCTGGTGTCTACTGAATTGGGCCCTTTCACTGTAAGTTGATAGTCACTTCTCAGAAACCTCTCTGTGGCCTCCCTGTGTGACCTCCTGGCCACACTTCTCTTAATGTTTTTCTGATAGCAGCAGGTTCTCTCATTCCTAGAGTTGAAGTAAGTTGCATTACTCCATTTATTTGTGTGATTACTTAATGTCTTCTTTTGTCTCTAAGAGCATAACACCATCTACTTCACAAGGTTATGATTTTGGATATCATTAAGCAGAATGCCCAGCATATAATGGGTCCTGATATGTATTTGCTGAATGATTCACTGAATAAATGAATGAATGACTTACAATCATGCTTCTAAGGAGGCAAGTAAAAGTGTAGTTCAAAAGAGATTTCTAGTTTATAAATATTAATGCTGAGAACACAATCATGCATTATATATGTGCTATAAGCACATTATAATATTTTTCCTCAGCTTTACAAAACCCAATGCACAGATAAATAATTTCAAGTGGACAGGCAGGCCTTAAATCATATATGAATATAATAAAGCAGAAGGAAGGGAAACCAGAGAAGGAGTTGATGATTCTAGTTTGTGGCACAGATTGCAGATGGACAAGAATAGAAGCGAGGGAGCCGAGTTACAAGCTCATGTGAACAATGAAGGTGACTGGGTTTGAGAACTACTTTGGTGAGAGAATGGACAACAGTGGCTACCTAAGTAGACATAGGGTGGGAGTAAGAGGCTAGAGAATCAAGAATAAATTTCAGGTTCCTGTTTGAGCAACCGCGTTTCCTCATTTACTGGAACATACTGTGGGAAGGCTAGGCACAGATTTTACGTGCGTAGTGATAAATTCTGATTGAAATATGTGGAGATTGAAAAGCTATAGGAATGTACACGTGAGGACATTGGCTGGTTATAGAACTTTGGGTTTGGATGCTCACATCCCTCTTGCGAGAACTGCCTTCTGACTCCTGGTGACGTAAGGGCCTCCCTTACATCCCATGTCCTCCCCCTCCCAAGAGCACCACCCTGGGGACCAAGCATTTAACACTTGTGCTTTTGGGGGATACCCCAACTAATATCCAAACAATAGCAGCTTATAAAACTGGAGAGTTTTCCTCCCACTGGGCGGTGGTATTGTTTCATATTTTTCAAAGCATCCTGCCTTGCCCTTTTGTTCTGCCTGAGAAAAGGCAGAAGGGCTATTGATTATTAACTGAGTCAGGCATTGAACTAAGTACCCTATTTGTATTACCTTATGCAGTCCTTGCAAAAACATTAATGGCATCATGGCATTCCTCTGTTCAAAATCTTCCAAAGGATTTCATCTCCTTCAGAATTAAAAGTGATGCTGCCACGTGGGATGCCCACATCCCATATTGGAGTCCCAGCGGCTCCATTTCCAATCCAGCTCCCTGCTAATGCTCCTGGGAGGCAGCAGATGATGGCTCATGGTCTGAAGTCCTCTGATATCCATGTGGGAGACCTGGATAGAGTTCTTGGCTCCTGGCTGTGACATGGC